GGGTGGGAACAGAGCTGACTTGAGTGCATGTTCACATTATTTGGTGCATGTATAGAGAAGACAGGGTCTTCACTGTCTGAGTAGGGAAGATGTGGTGGGTGGGAACAGAGATGACTTGAGTGCATGTTCACATTATTTGGTGCATGTATAGAAAAGACAGGGTCTTCACTGTCAGAGTAGGGAAGGTGTGGTGGGTGGGAACAGCTGCCTTGTGTACATGTTCACATTATTTGGTGCATGTATAGAAAAGACAGGGTCTTCACTGTCAGAGTATGGAAGGTGTGGTGGGTGGGAACAGAGCTGCCTTGAGTGCTTGTTCACATTATTTGGTGCATGTATAGCGGAGACAGGGTGTTCACTGTCAGAGTAGGGAAGGTGTGTTGGGTGAGAACAGAGCTGCCTTGAGTGCAGGTTCACATTATTTGGTGCACATGTAGAGAAGACAGGGTCTTCACTGTCAGAATAGGGAAGGTGTGGTGGGTGGGAACAGAGCTGACTTGAGTGCATGTTCACATTATTTGGTGCATGTATGTAGAGAAGACAGCGTTGACCCACATCTAGTCTCTGAAATGAATATATCTTACTTGCACAGGGCAAGTCACATTTTCAACCTTGTTTGAGGACCCCAGATGTGTCAGTCCTATCTTTGTAAATTGCATGATACAATATCATGACATGATTTTGTTCTCCAGGGTTAGAAATTAGTTTTGTTTTTACCAGTCCAAACATGATATGCTATCTACCCATTGCCATCTACCCGCTCATAGTAATATAGGTTGTCCTGGAGGAAATGTCCATAGTCCTGAGTTGTACCAGCCTCGAGCTAGCGGAAATTTGTTAATTGTGAAACCTGTTTTCTTGATTGTGCTTGTACTTGTTTGAATTGTAATTGTAGAGCATAAGAATTGCCGAGAAAGCTGTCAAAAACCCTAATGTAGCTTATCAACATGATCAAAGTTTAACATGTTCCCAGATTTAAATATTACTGCAGGTAACCACAGGGACCCCAGTAGAATCAATCCCCTTCGGTGTCAAACACTGGATGAGGGTTGAGTAATAGTCCATGCACTGGTATCAACATACCAGTCAAAGGCCACAGTACGTTAGTGCTACACATTCATCTAAAGTCATGGATAATGGGAGTTAGGAAGCACAGTTTTGTTAATTTTTCATTTTTGATTAAACAGTTATTTCAAGGCATCTGTATACATCATCTGTTGAAGCTCATGTCCTGTTTTATGAGAGTTCCATGTACATGATGTGTATATTGTATTTCATCAAGTTTAGAAATAAATGAACTCTAGGGTTGTCATTGATTGGACATTTTATCCTTCATGATCTTCCAACTGCTAAATGCCTAAATAACTTCATACACAAAATACTGTAAATCTTGAAATTAATGCGAGCGTGAATTAAATGCGAAAAATGCGAGTGGTCTTTGCTCGCATTAATAAACATCGCATTTATATCAACAATAAGACATTTTGGATAGCATAAATACCACCTTAGACATACGCTGAAAACAAACAACTATGTATTCCACATCACTGTTTATTGATCATCACTTGTAACAAGTATATAAACAATGTCATTTAAACACTAATAACATCCCGTGAATTGTCACTGCTTGGGTCAAGACAAGAGTTCTACTCACTTATGTCATCACTGATCACACCTGCAAGTCAAGACAGACGCCACGCACGCAACACAGTGTCTTTGTTCTTTGCGACTGCGTCAAAGGCTGACACGAGCCAGCACGCATGTATTGTTTTAGTGGTGCTATTTGGTATGTGATTGGATTAATGTAAAGTTGGATTAAAGTGGGGATTCTCCTGTAAACCTGACAGAGGACGTTTTCTTTAGATAACATCCACTGATGCTTGAGAGGAGGGGGGTGTCGCATTCATATTGAGTCGCATTTTTGGCTAGGGACCAGCGCCTGCATTCTTTTGGAGACGCATTAATTTCAAGATTTACAGTACATTTTGAGATGTCATTGTTTATCGCAATATCGATAGCTGTTTAATGTCGATACTGTATCGATACAAATTTAGGAATATCAATAATAAATTATTCACTCCTACAGAAATGTTTACAAGAATTCCTTGGTTAAATGATACATGTTATAAGAAAACAGAAGTTCAATTTCAAACATTTGATGGATCAGTCTTGTTCATATTAGTATTAATTTGATTAACTGCAAGTCTAGATAGAAAATGTCCATGTATATACATACAGAATAACTAGTTTTGTTATTAACTGATACATAGTAATACACCATGATACTTCTGAGTCGACACATTGATACTAACTGACGTGACACCCCTAATGCATGTGTAGTTATTCAGACCTGTCAGTGAACCAACTGTTGCACAGTTGCACGACATAATCTGAAGTGTGTGTTGACAGGATCACTGAGTCGCAACGACCGTTCCATCCCGGTCAGTGATTGTCCTAAACCCATTGACCATACAGTCCTGAATACAGTATCTGATACCACATTACACAGATGACCTGTGTCTGTCCATGGTCTGGCTGTGTGACCTGCAGGTCACCTGTATGCTGATGATATTATCAGATGATTGTGTTTCTGCGTGACTTGTCTCATAGGTAATTACACAACCTTGACCATTGTTGACCTTTATACCTGTTCTTAATAGCCACTGTCCAGCCAGGGGGTGTATAAAACATTTGGGGGTGAAATAAAACATTTGGGGGTGAAATAAAACATTTGGGGGTGAAATAAAACATTTGGAGGTTGTATAAAACATTTGGGGGTGAAATAAAACATTTGGGGATTGTATACAGCATTTGAGGGTTGTATAAAACGTTTGGAGGTTGTATAAAACATTTGGGGGTGAAGTAAAACATTTGGGGATTGTATACAGCATTTGAGGGTTGTATAAAACGTTTGGAGGTTGTATAAAACATTTGGGGGTGAAATAAAACATTTGGGGATTGTATACAGCATTTGAGGGTTGTATAAAACGTTTGGAGGTTGTATAAAACATTTGGGGGTGAAATAAAACATTTGGGGTTGTATAAAACATATTCATTTCAAATCTTGATGTTACGTCCAGCCAGCTTACATTACCGGAAAAGCTGTTGAGGAACGTAGAGCACATTTCCTTCTCATGCTTCTGTTAATAGTGATAAGTAACATGTGCTAATTATGATTTGGTCATGGTTTGACGTAATGTTTGACGTAATGTTGGACATACCCCGGCTGTGTGTGAGGCATCGATAACGGTGTGTGCAATGGAGGGCAGTTTGTACTTATGTGTGAAGTATGTTGTAGGTAAATAACGTGGTAATCAAACAGATGATAATTGCTGCCAAACAGCTCTGACCTTATCACATTTCTACTGTGTGGTGGAGTACCAGTAGCCTGACATTTGTAGACTCAGTGACATGGGGCTTGTGTGAGATATTACATACACTGTGAGTACAACAGGTAATTGTTTAGTGTAACCTTGATACCTCAAATTCAGATTACCACTGATTACAATGCTACTTGAAAGCAGTTGAAGAACACACGATTCTTTCAAATTACTGAACAGCATTGCCAGAATAGTAATATGAAAGAATTGGGTATCGTTATTTTGAGTAGTATATGTCACTCGAGAAATAACTTTGTGCCAGAATTGTTACTGACACTGTTGTCAGATGTTTTTCGCACGTCTCTTTCTCAAAGAACGTAGCAGTTTTTAAGCGGAAATCTGTTAATTAAGTTTTACCTTTTTTTGTATGTGCTTAAAGAATTTTTCCATTTTCAGTTTTCTGTGAATTGAAGTGTTGAATGTACACGTTACCATATTTTTTCATGTTTATTAATTGATAAGGTTTTGTGATATTATACTACTCAAAGAAAATTATGGCATGACAGAGTAACTATAGGAATATGAAAGAATTGGGCGATCCTTAAATTTAATTGAGTAGTATGTTTGTCACATGAAGTAGAAAAGAAATATTGTCTTATTCCACCTGAACAGCATTTGGATTCTGTAGAGACACAACATGGTAGAATGTTATTTATTTCAAGAATTACTGACTGCTTGGCACACTGATTTTATGATAAGAAGAGCAGCACGAAGCCTGTCAGTGTAGTAAAGTCATTTTAGGTCTAACACACATAGCACCATGACATTTTCTCAATTATGTGCAGTGTTTCGAGACAACAGAGCATTGTATTGGCAATGTATATCAATATTGAGTGTTCTTATGTTGCATGTTGCCATAGATCAGATGGATTCTAATATAATTATTTCATGTAATATGTATGAAGTATTCATACACAAGTTTGGAAAGCATATACATTTGATGTTTTTTTATATTCAGATTTATTAAATATTATATATATATATATATACATTTTTCTTGGAGATATAATTCTGGTCCACATGTTGTGTTCATCTGTATGTCTACCCGAGAATAAATGAATAAAACATCAGATTTCTATACATAGACAAGTCAGACAGTGTGTAGGCATAATTTCACATAGAGGAACATTTCTGGGTGTGTCAGTTATTCTGACAAACAGTAATGGAGATCGATGTAGCATGACAATGTTTATATAAGACTGTCGACTAAAGTGGATGTAGGTGATAGTGGATGGAAGATCAGGAGGCTTGCCGTCTCACTGTATAAAATATAGATCATTTATCCGAGTGCCCATTGTGAAACTAAACAAATGTATTGAGTTGATAAGAAGTGCCACAGGAAGTGGAGTGACTGTCTATTCACCACCCAGCTGTTGTTTCACCTTGACTGACGCTGTATGAAAGCATAGGGCAACATTGCTAGCCGGAGTGTGCAATGTGACTGCATTAAACACTGGACCCAGGAACAGATGGATGATGATGTGATGTGGCAGATGGTTTTAGATTGAAACTTACAATTCTGCTTTTTTACCTGAAAATTATCATTTGCAAACACAGTTTATCTGCAGGATTAGTTTGAAAAAATAAACTGTTGTCACATGGTTGTTTTGACAGGTCACTTCACACTAAAACAGGGTACAGTCTTACATCAGTACTAGGGGAGGGGTCGTACAGGCTAGGGGAGAGAGGTCGTGGGAGGAGGATGGTGTTCTCCAGACTTGGGGAAAGACGTAGTGGGAGGAGGGTGGGGTCCTCCAGGCTAGGGGAGAGAGGTCTTGGGAGGATGGTGGGGTCCTCCAGGCTAGGGGAGAAAGGTCGTGGGAGGAGGGTGGGGTCCTCCAGGCTAGGGGAGAGAGGTCGTGGGAGGAGGGTGGGGTCCTCCAGGCTTGGGGAGAGAGGTCGTGGGAGGAGGGTGGGGTCCTCCAGGCTTGGGGAGAGAGGTCGTGGGAGGAGGGTGGGGTCCTCCAGGCTAGGGGAGAGTGTTCTCCAGGCTAGAGGAGGCAGTTCTCCAGGCTAGGGGAGGGTGTTCTCCAGGCTAGAGGAGGCAGTTCTCCAGGCTAGGGGAGGGTGTTCTCCAGACTAGGGGAGGGTGTTCTCTAGGCTAGAGGAGGCAGTTCTCCAGGCTAGAGGAGGCAGTTCTCCAGGCTAGTGGAGGCAGTTCTCCAGGCTAGGGGAGGGTGTTCTCCAGGCTAGAGGAGGCAGTTCTCCAGGCTAGGGGAGGGTGTTCTCCAGGCTAGGGGAGGGTGTTCTCCAGGCTAGAGGAGGCAGTTCTCCAGGCTAGGGGAGGGTGTTCTCCAGGCTAGAGGAGGCAGTTCTCCAGGCTAGGGGAGGGTGTTCTCCAGGCAAGAGGAGGGTGTTCTCCAGGCAAGAGGAGGGTGTTCTCCAGACTAGGGGAGGGTGTTCTCCAGGCTAGGGGAGGCAGTACTCCAGGCTAGGGGAGGGTGTTCTCCTGCCATGTACAGTGAACCTTGACAGTGTTTGAATGTGGTTCGGTGGATGAGTATATGTGCATTGCAACACATTTCAAAAGTGCTGTAATTTGTGTGGGACCTTACACACGAAACATTGTGCTTGTTTTTTCTGTCTTCAGCTGATAATAAATGTCACAGCAAGTAGGTGCAACTACGTTGATAGGGTGCTAAAACTATTCTTCTTTCAATGTAAGCATTCCCAACATCATGTGTTGTGTCTTGCTCCAGCCTTGTTCCACTGACTAGTATCGCCATACTGCAGTATTCTTAAGAGACGATATTGGTAGTACAGTGGTTCAACCGTTAGATTCACACCAAGATGCAGGTTTGATAGCCACATGGGTTCAGTGTGATAAGGTTATTTTTTTATGGCCATGTCATTATGTAGGTCAATATAGCATGTTTTGGTGGAATCTGGCTAGAACTCACTCTATCCTCAAGGTCAAACTCAAGAGAATAGTTCTAGAATGCCAATCAAGCAGACAAGAGAATACTTGTATATGCAGCAATAAATTTCTAGAATTTAGTTGATTTTTTATACAAATAATAATTGAATAATATATCATATTGAAGTATTACTATGAGTGAAACATTGTATTTCTGCTGTCATCATTTAACGTGTATTTCCTTGTTTCAGGGTGATTGCAGGCTGATTGCAGTATGTGATAGTGTAACGACATAGTGTGAGGACGTTGTGTGAGGACAATGAGCTGGTTCAAGAGGGGGAGTGTTCGGCAGGAGGGCCGAGTGGCTGGCTCCCCTGACCATCTATCCAATCAGAACAGACGGGACACAGACCCTCAGACTTGTCTGGAGGTGTTCCGCAATCACTGGCAACAGGCTCTGAATGTCATCGAGAGCAAGAAGGATGGAAGCAAGGGAACTGTGGATGACATTGACACTGTAATACATAACTTTGAGCACATGGTCACTTTGCTCGTCGGGGAAGAAGGAATTGATGGAATGCCTGGACCAATTTTACATTTTCTTCTTGAAAAAGAAGTGTTTGAAAAATTCTGTGCTTTGAGCATGCCAACAAGAGAAGGGCTTGGAAAACTGAAATATGATCAGCTGCGAATGTTTGAACTCGCTATCAACCAGTCCAAACAGCTCCTGCTGATCCACAAGCCAGTTATTCGACCACTGATGAAGCTGCTCTCCTCCTGCACCGACCAGACCATCCAGTCAGAGGAGATCGAGTACCGCACTGTCCTCGTGCTGCACCAGATCTGCGTCTGCATCTCGCAGCAGACAGTCATCCTTGAGAGCTTCTTCAACACCAACGCTGACCATGGTCCAGCCCGATTCCTCATCTTCTCCCTGCTCATCCCCTACATCCACAGAGAGGGGCCGATCGGCCAGAATGCTCGTGATGCTCTCCTCCTGCTGATGGCCTTGTCAGCCAAGTATCCCCACATAGGCCAGTACACCGCAGACTCAGATTTCTGTCCTGTGAGTATGTTCATCCTGCATCAGGTCAATGTTTAATAAGTCCAGTTTCCACCCTTGCAGAACTAGGCTGGAATTACGGAATCATTTTTTGGCTCGACTAATGAGTCTTTGCATTATGATACATAGTTCATTCAAAATTGTGTGACAAAATCAACATCCGGTTCAATCAACTGCCGTTCAGATTTTCGGTGGCATTTTATCCTTTAAAATAAGATGAATAATTTACTGATATATTTAGAAAAGATATAACCATAACAATTCCGGAATCTTTATATAGCAGAAAATGTGAAATGTATTTCAGTCTTTTGTTAGCTATTGTTATCTCAGGATTGTTTTCTGAAAGGTATGTGTGTCAGCTTCGTATGTCCCAGTCTCCTGTATATTCTGTGCCTGGTGTTGAAGGTGTTGGCCACAGGCCTGTCTGGACTGTACTCATCACTGCCACGCAAGATATCGCCACCGAGTGAGGACTGGTACATGGTGACTGATGAAGACATTGCCAGGATGCCCGATCTACAGATGTTCCTCAACTCCCTGGAGTTCTGTAATGCTGTCATCCAGGTACATACCTAGACTCTTATCCCGCAGAACTGTCAGAACATGTCAGAGATTTGTAATGCTGTCATCCAGGGCACCGTTCCACAAAGCGATCTTAGCGTTACGACTGTCGTAAGCCAGTGTTAAAGTATGGGACTTACGATCACCTTAGCGCTAAGATGGCATTGTGGAACGGGGCCCAGGGTCCCATCCGGAAAAAGCAATCTTAGCACTACAACTATTGTAAGTCTATGTTAAAGTATGGGAGTTACGATCATCTTAGGGCTAAGATCGCTTTTTGCAAGGAGATCCAGGTAGATACCTAGACTCTGACTTTCTTAATGTGCAAGATATTGGTAATGCTGACATCCAGGCAGATGCCTAGACTCTTACTGTCTGAACCTAGACTCTCTCTGTCTGAACCCAGACTCGTACTGTCTGAACATAGACTCTTACTGTCTGAACCTAGTCTCTTACTGTCTGAACCTAGACTCTTACTGTCTGAACCTAGTCTCTTACTGTCTGAACCTAGACTCTTACTGTCTGAACCTAGTCTCTTACTGTCTGAACCTAGAAACTTACTGTCTGAACCTAGTCTCTTACTGTCTGAACCTAGACTCTTACTGTCTGAACATGCTAGTGTGTAAGTGACTTGTAATGCTTTGTTGCTGTATTTATCTAATCTCTTTTCCTGCAATACTGTCTGAACATGCTCTCAACTCACTTGGGAACTGTGAGGATTCTAAAACAGGATACTGTCATGCACTGAGTGTGTTGTTCAACAAAAAACAAACACACACTGAGACCTTTCTGAATGCTGTAGAACCTGATATCTTATGCTCTGACCTCTACTGATAAGTCAGTAGGTGTCAACTGAAATATATCCAATTCTGGTAATATGAAACTACACATGTATTCTAAATTATTAATGCTGTTATTGTCAATTTAGAATAGCCATTAGTCTAGACTGGCTTTTTTTGGAAGCATTGTTTGTATTCTCCCTAGGGATCTGAGAATGCAAATTGACAATACATAGATTCATGGACTTGTGTGGTATCTGTGTGCCCTATGATCTTGCACTGTGGGGGGCACGGGTGGCCTAGTCGTCTAAGGCGCCGCGATTCGCTGTGCAGAGTTGTGTCCCTTGGGCACGCCAGAAATCTATGATTGTGGGTTCGAATCCCGGTTCGGCCCGATTATGTTTCTAGGTTTGTCAGCACCATACCCGTGCTCGTGGGTTTCACCGAAGTGGTAAACGTCTGAGACCTGCATCACTTCGTGCTTTCCTCCCACATTAAGCTGACACGCCGTGATATAACTGGAATACTGTTAAAAGCGTATATGTGCCAGACAGTACAGATAATGATAAAAACAAACAGTCAGTGTAAATATTAAGAGTGCATTGTATAAAACTGTTCTTTAAACTGTCTACCTCTAGAGATATATATCAACCTAGGAGCTATTGCTACAATGAATTACATCACTGTGCTTTGCAGACCATTGTGACATCATCAGTTACCATGACAGTCACAATCAAATGACATGACTTTTCTCTCTGCCACATTAGCAGGTTAGCTCTAGTTTTCACACTCAAGGCACTACTGGTTGTTATCTATCTTAACCTGAAAAAGTTAGAAGAATGATAAATAGAATCTCCTCCTCGTGTCTTTTGATATCAAACACATCAACACACGTCAAAACAAGCTTTAGAGTTTTAAACTTTTATTGACTTGTGTTGATGTATTTGATATCAGATGACATTGGGATTCTCTGTTTGTTCACTGACTGGTTCTAAGTGTTTGCTGACACTTGAACTTTAATAAATAAAAAGTCAGCTATTTGAGGGGATCAGATGGGATTTCAACATTCGTATACAATGGTATACAATTAGTTCGTTCAAATTTGTCAGTCATTGATGATCACCAGTTTTGGATATATAGAGGTTATAATGCAGGTGTGTTTTACAAGCACAGATATGGAAACTGATCCCTCTAGGCTAGTGTTCCCGCTAAATTGTCTCGCAATTTATACCTCCAAAGTTGCAAAAACTGAAAATGCCCCAACTACATCACAGTTAGACACTGATTTTCAACATACTGCACTATTCTTTTGCTAATGATAGCAATTATCCCAGTACCTTTTCCAGATTCCCGATGATTAATTCTGAACTGATAGCCGAAAGACAAGAGTGACACCATATTTGTTTGTAAACACGGAAAGTGTCCGTACTTGACGGCTGATATTTGCATCTGTATCTGCATTTGACCATTGATATCGTTTTTATCCGTTGACCAAGAAAGCTACCAATTATATGATAAAGTGTTCTATATGCAAAGATCCTGTTATAGTCATGATTTAAGGCCCACATTAAAAAATACAATGGGGCATTTTAACATTGTGCTGTATGGGTGTACCTCTGGAGTATTTGAAATTTTCACATAAAGGGCCCATGTCAGAAAATTCCTAAAGTGACCCCTGGGTATAGACTTAGATAATCTTGAATATTTGAAATAACATTTGGTTTTATCCATGGTCAATGTTCATGTTGGTAACTATCAGTGACATGGGAGCTTGATGATACTCAGCTCTTGATCAGTGATAACTAACAGAATACTCTGACTGTGGTGAGCTCGTGGAGAAGACATCAACCAACAATTGACTCACTATGTTTCAGATTGCCCATCCATTAGTGAAGAACCAGTTGATCAAGTACATCTATGATGGGTTCCTGGTACCAGTGCTGGGTCCAGCTCTCCATCAGGTGGGTAGACATGTCTGTGAGATGAGGCAGCTCCCTTCCATTATAACAGATGCTTCTACTGACACCTGTTGCTGAGTAAACATCTTCTTTAATGTGAACTTTGTAGGTTTCTTATTTGTCCCCTTTATGAAACAAGATTATTGGTAATGTTAGAAACATTTTGCTTTATGTTTGTCAAGGTAAAATGAAAAAACATGAAGTATTGACCAATACTTTGCAGCACACCTGTCAAGTCTTTTCGCGAAGATGCACATTCCCAGATTAAACATAGCAGGAACTGTTTGGGCTGTAACCTTTCACATGGGATACCTGTTCCCTGATACACTGATCCCTGATATACAGGTCCTACTTTTACAAAAGCCTGTCTTGTTTGTTGCTGGGTATAAGGGATTTATTCTCCCGCTGAGAAATTTACTTCCTTCCAAGGCAGGATACATAGTATTTAATCAATATCACTTGGACCAATCAGATCTCATCGTTCTGATAATGTATTATATCCCATTCATGACATTGATACACATGTTAAACCTTGTGTTTAGTTACAGCCCAAAGAGACCTTAGTGATGCATATGTTATTTCAAGATGAAGGAATTTAAAATGTATACAGTCAGTGTTTAGATATAGTTCTACACAATAAGATACATGACTTATTACTAATGCTTTTGTCTGTTTTACTGTAATAGATGTTTATGAATAATTCTTTTTACTTAGATAACTAAGATAACTGATTGTGGTGTCAATTGCAGTTAACTCTTAACATGGCTGCAACTTTCATGCTTGATTTTCTCAGTGTTTTCTACCAACAAATAGATATTTGTATTCAATATATTTATAATTTACGATATGTCTTTGATTTTATATTTCTTCAAAGTAATAATGTGATATTGTCTTTGCTTCTGTCAAAATGTCAGAAAGCCCAAAGAAGGATAAATAAGATTAAATTTCCAATGTGCAACATCTGCCTGTTGTTTACATTTTCAAATGATAAATTTTTTAATTTTTTTTATTTTGCAAAATTAGAACTTAAATGATTTTCATTTGTCATTTCCTCACCAAATCAGGATATCCCTGGCCTTCCATTACCACTCCTAGATACGGGAATGTTTGCGGTCAGTAATATTCACTAACAAACAGCGGCTTCGCATTGTGACAGTTTGGTTGTACATGAGGTTTGATGACTAGTCTGTGTCTTTTGTTATCTTTGCTTTGTGTCGTCATCTCTAACTGCATCTCATCTCCATGTGCTGAAGGTTGGATGGTAGTCAGCTTCACTCGGTTTCATTTCATCATATTGTGGGCACTGGTGTGGTACTTGCACACACGGTTGTGAAGACTGACAAGTTTGAACCCATATTCTATGCATCCACTACCAATGATACAATACAAGGGGATTAGATTTTTGTCAATTAACTCCATAGTAAATGAATTATTAGATTTTAATCCATGTTTTGAGAAGATGGAAGGTGGGAGACTTTTTATTTTTTTATGTTTAATTTTTCTGTTCGAAGCATCTGCATGCATTGACCGTTGATAGATTTGATTCACATGAGGCATGAAAGTTTTATAGGATAATGTGTATATCAGGTCTGGAAGGGGTAACTTGGGTACTCGGGTCAGCAGGTACTGAGTGGGACCGGGTACCAACAGGACTACCCGGACCCGTGGTTAGTCAGTAACTAGGCAAAAGTTCACTATAACTTCACTATAACTAAAGCTACAAGTCACTAATGTTTGCTTTTCTTTCTAACTATGGTTGCATTCAGTGTACGAATTAGTTTCCAATGTTCACTGGCCAGGAGGGCTTGTAAACAAATAATGTAATGCAAGCGCTCATCATATATTTGTAGCCCCAAACTAACTCTTCCTATGAACTATGAAATGAAAAAAAATTGACAACAGATTTTGACCTTTAATGGCACCTAACTGACTTGATGATTTGTAGAAATAAATATGTACTGACTAGACAGTCGGGCCAGCTTTACGGAAATGTCACTACCCAAATTTAAAAGTCACTGGCATTTGGCTTAGGGACTTGGCAGCTATTTTGAGCACTGCATGCATTTCTTCTGATTTTTATATGTTTGAATAAGGATAAAGCTTCAGTCATCTTCAGTGTATGCATAACCAGATCATTTTATCTAAATCCTTTTTGCCAGGGCTCCGGTAAAACAATTCCCAAGCAGACATTTTGTACCCAACTCTTGAAACCTACTGCAGGTACCCGGGTAGGATCGGGTAATAGGGGGTCGGGTAGCTGGGAAGAAAATTTGAACTCGTCCCAGCCCTATATATATATAGGCCTAATACAATGTTTTTGTGATAGTTTGATATACAGTCATCTATGGATATAACAGAATCAGATGTGGGGAGTTGTTGTCATCATTGATAGATTTGCAAATTCGTTTCCAAGTTCAGTTTGCCCAAAGGTAATCTTGATCTACATTGAAAGCATGATCATCTCCCAAATGTCCATCTCCTAATGATTATGAGGAAAATAAACTCCATGAAGTACATACTGATATTTCGGGTCCCTTCACGTTTGTTGGGTCCAGAGTTGACTGTGGGTATGTATTTAGGTCAAAGTTTGTTATTTGCATTCCATAATTTTGTTATTTGTGTGAAACTATTTTAGCTTTTGAAATTTTTGGTTAGCAGAAACAATTCTCACAGCACATATAACATGTGACCTGTTCTCAAGTAGCCAGATGCTTGTTGCTTTCGCTGCTTCAGCAATGTTTCAGCCCTTTTTGCAGTGAACAGATTGTACATAACAGATAACTGACTTAAAGAATGAAGTTTGAGCTTGGCAACATTCATCACTTTTAGTTTTCAGTACAACAGGTAGAAAAATAGTAATCCTCTATATATCAGATATTTACTTGAAAATTACTTTGTATTTAGATTACTTTCTTTTTCCTTTCAAAGAATTCCAATTTTGGGAAGATTTAATCTTTTTGAGAGACCCATTTTTTTATATCACTGGATGTTATGAAATGGAAATTATCATGTCTTGTCATGGTTATATATCCTGTGAAGATCTGGGGTAGAATTGGTCTTCAGCAACCCATGCTTGTCTTAGAATTGGTCTTGTTGAAAGAGGCAACTAACGGGATTGGGTGGTCAGACTCGTTGATGATTGTCATCGTATCCCAACTGCATAGTTCAATGCTCATGATGTCAGTCACTGGATTATGATTGTTTACGCCTCCATCATATAGCTGGAATATTGCTGAGTGTGGTGTTAAAAAACAAACAAATATAAACCAAATCCTGTGTTATTTTGGCATGCCTTCATTTCATACCCACCATGCTCACAGAATAGTTTTCTTTTTGATATAGTAGATCAGTGTAATCAATGTCAACATTTAGTCTTGGTGAAGGAATATTTTTGATCTAGTGTTACAGTGTTATTCTGTACACAGTGGAAGGTTTATGACTAACTATTGAACACATCAACTCCCTGATAGACATGTGTATGTTTTGTTGTAGTGTGGTTGCACTGAGTAGCAGCATGTTGTGTGTTGTATCACTGTATTCATCTCCAGCACACAGCCTCACATCACCATGTTGTCAAGGCTACCATTTCCACCAGCTATTACTGGTGTATAACACATTCGTATCCAACACTAATCACGTGTGATATGACAGATTCACAGCATATCATGCAGATGCATTATCAATTTTGAAACACTTTTGTAACCTCAACATGTTATGATACTGAAGGTATACCAATTCTTGGAATATGTCACAAAATATTATTTGGTTCCTTCGCCGTTATTATGGCGACAGGATTACCAATGATCAGTGATTTGACAGTGGAAATAATAGCCTTGATAAAGGAGGATGATTTCATGTGACGTAATGGAATCAGCAGGATGCCAGGGTTTCCCATCGGTTCATTTCCTAGGACATTGCCAGTTATCCAAATGTCCTACAGATATTGTTCAAATTTGGTAAAGAAATAGATGGATGCCCTAAAAGTTGATGAAATCCTGTAAATGTCCGAATGTCTCCAGTATTATCCCTGGATACAGCCCCAACCTGGTGTTTGAACATCAACACTTGATGTTTGTCACAGACAGTGTAGACAGGATCCCTGTGTTAACTCAAACACCTTCAGGCAGCGCCTCTACTCTCCCACATCAGAACCTATAGTCGGGAAGGTAATTTAAGGTACTGACATTTATTACAATATCTGAAAAACTATTGGACCTACTCCAGTCAAAGTTGGTATGAGATTATTAAACAGTCATACATAACTGGATATTACATTTAAAGACAATCGGTCCATGAATAAAAAATCTGTCTGTTTAGTTATCACTATATTTCATCAACAACCAGACCTGTTCGTCACGGGTGGAACGAGCATTCATTGTAACAGCCATCTGCATAATGCTACCCCTGCGTCACAGGGCCATATGACGCAGTTGAACCAATCAACTCAACTCGAAAGGGTGCACGGGAATCACGCACGTTATGACGCCCAACGCTTACACTGTATTTGTGCGTGCGTGATTCCTGATTCTCATACCAACTTTGACTGGAGTAGGTCCAATAGTTTTTCAGATATTGTAGTAAACGTCGGTACCTTAAATTACCTTCCAGACTTCTCTAGCTGTCAGAGCTAAATGAAATAGATAATACATTTGTTTCTGCTTTGAACATGTTGCCAAATCACTTCCATTCTGTCAGCAGAGGGTTCACTGATAACTCAATTTGTGAGACAGCATGAGCTCTGTATATGTTACGTGTTAAACTATTCTTGGTGATAAACTGTACTACTCAACATTTGGTTAGGACCAAAATAGTCCTCTTTAGTCAAAGGTGTGATCCTTAGCAAATGTTGAGTAGTATATCAACCTTGTACAGTGTTCTTGATAACTGTAATGTTACCACTTGTTTGTATGTTTTGATTTAGAGTGGTTGTATGATGGATCTTGATGTAAGTTATGCACTTTTCTGATAGAACCCTAATATACAAGTGTAAGCATGTCTAAACTAATTAATAAATTGAATGCTGAAATAATTCTTTAGCGCATGACATTATATATCTCTGCAGAAAGAATGATTTTCTACCCTATGGTGAACTTAATTCACATATAATATCTTACCTGACAGTGCATGAAAGTGTAACCTAGTTTTAAGACAGACATGTAACCTTTGACACCTTATATGGTATATTTCTGGACTGCTGCCAAGTGTAAGTAGCATGCTTTTTTTGTGCACATGATGCTGGTCAAGTCCAAGTTGGTTCAAGGGAGTCAAGGGTGGTACAAGGTGCTCATCTCACTGAGCAGTTACTCCTCTTAGCAATATCAGGATACAAACTTTTATGTCTGAGTTTCGCTCTTGGCATCAGTTTGAGATTTCAGTGGTATCAGATGAATATTATAGTTGAACTGACATGGCCGAACAGTATTTTACTACGGTAGATTGGGGCTTTGGACTCCTGTCTAAAGTTGTGAAACTGCATTTTTTTAAGGATTTGGTTTTTAGATTTGGCCTGATTGTGATCCTCGAACTGGAGGCACTATACCTGTGATCATTAGTGTATTGCCCTGTATCAAAGGGAAGCAACTGTTGTCAATGATATGTCAGGTTTGTTAGGGTCATTAGTGCCCTTGCTAAATTGCTTTACCAATGTTGTCTACACTTGTAAAAGGACTCAGCTACGCCTCTGTTAGACACTGATATACAGTCTGTTAAACTAATATTTTGACAATGATAACAATTATACCAGTAATTTGTCCAGACTTCCGAAGGTCAATTCTGACTCGATCACTGATGGACAAGATGACGCAATGTTTGATTGTAATCACTGAAAGTAGTACCAACCTCAGTAACCTGACATTTTGTTATTTGCATATTTATCCATAATTGACACCAACAGATACCGGGTTTATCCATCGGCTTTATTCTTCTGAGAGACCTACCCTATGTGTTAAATAGCCGTATTTTTCCAGTTGGAAAAGGTGTCAGTTCTGCATGCAGTTCACTGTAAAGAGTAGTGTCCCTTTGGCATGCTGGAACATACTATTGTGGGTTTGAATCTTGGATTCATCCTATTTAAATATGTTTATTTTTGTTAACACCAAACCTGTCCTGGCTTGTTTCGCCAAAGTGATAAACGTCTAACCTGCATCTTTTCAGGTTTTCTTCCCAAATCGAGCTGACACGCCATGATAAAGCAGAAATACTTTTCAAAGCATTGTTTATCCAAACTAACAAACTAAATCACTGACTTTTTAGGGCCAATTAAAAGTGGAATCGGGTTATCACAATATCCGTCACGGGGAGATCTTGAGTTGGTGACCACCAAGTGACACCGACAGAGGTGACCTGGTAGATTGTGTGTCATCATGCGTGGATCAGTGCTCAAATTATCAACCACTGGTGTGCCTGCTCAAGGCTTGAATACTTCAAGTGCTGAATCTAAGATGCAAAATTGCTGACTCAGTGATAACTACTCACTCTTTGCATCCTTTATAATACTGGGATCACGGCTATATCACATTGCACTCATTTTATTCATAGTGGAATAATTATTTTTAGTTATGAAATGCATTATTTTGCACAACAATGGTATTTTTTTTTATTGAATTGTTAGTCAGTAAATATTGTTGACCAAGTGTGACATCTTCTGGTCTGAATATGTAACGGGTACATGAGATGCTTCACTTCTTTATATCATGAGTATCTGACTGTATAGAAACTCGTAAGGTTACCTGTTGTTGTGGCAAGCCGTGTAGATATTTGTAAAGATGTTGTGCTTAATAGTCTTTGAATGCAGTCACATGTATCTGCACGTTCTTTTATTGTACAGTTTCGCAAAGGCCTGTTGTGTTTTTAGTCAGGAATATTTCAATTTTCTATGCTCTTTCTCCACTGATTTATGGCATAAATAGGCAAGTATAGCATATACAAAGGATATATCATTCTGATCACCTGAAGCATACTATTTACATGGGGCAGATGGATCTTAGGAAAGTGATAAATCATTTCTCAGAAAAAGGTTAATCATTTCTAAGAAAAAGGGTTCAAAGCCTTTTGATAACTGTTGCTACAGTGTGATCAGTTTGATAATGAGATTACATATTTAAGGTACGGTATTTTCGGTACAGTATTCTTGTCCTTGTCATAATCGATGGACCCATAAAGATTCTGGGGTAGAATACGTCTTCATATAGCTGGAATACTGCTGAGTGCGGCGTTAAACAACAAACAAACAAACAAAACATAATTGATGCTTAGCATGCTGTAAATGGAAACGGTGACAATTATGTATTTTCCAAATGTTACAGATTTATCCATGTAATGACCATAGTCTCATAACACATAAACCCGGCAGCACTTTCAATACTGCTAATTTTGAGGACCTTGAAAAGGGGAGGTAAGTCTTCATGCTTCCTGTTTCAATGAACTGTGTGCTGTTTTACAGAATTCCCGAGAGGAAGTGATGACAGCCACCGCCTACCTTGACCTATTCCTACGACGTATCACGGAGCCAGTTCTCATCCGGGCTGTACTCAAGTTTATACTGCTGGAGAAGAATGATGAGATCGTCATCCTTGATTCACTGATCACCAGAATCAACTCCAGTTCACGGGTAAGAAGCCTTAAGCTCAGTGTTAGCTTCCAGTGGGGATTTGAGGAGGCGCACAGTGTAAAAGTTCAAAAACTCAAAGTGTCCATGGCCCCATGAAGATTTGGGTTTATATATGTCTTCAGCAACCCATGCATGCCCTAAGAGGTGACTATGCTTGTCGGAAGAGGCGACTAACAGTCACTGGATTGTCTAGTCAAGATTCCATTATTTACAGACCACTGTCATATAGCAGGAATATTGCTTAGTGCGGTAAGAGAAGGGGATGAGTATAGGCTTACAGAGAAGGGGATGGGTATAGGCTGATAGAGAAGGGGATGAGTATAGGCTGATAGAGAAGGGGGTGAGTATAGGCTGATAGAGAAGGGGTGAGTATAGGCTGATAGAGAAGGGGGTGAGTATAGGCTTACAGAGAAGGGGATGAGTATAGGCTGATAGAGAAGGGGATGAGTATAGGCTGATAGAGAAGGGGATGAGTATAGGCTGATAGAGAAGGGGGTGAGTATAGGCTTACAGAGAAGGGGATGAGTATAGGCTGATAGAGAAGGGGATGAGTATAGGCTGATAGAGAAGGGGATGAGTATAGGCTGATAGAGAAGGGGGTGAGTATAGGCTGATAGAGAAGGGGTGAGTATAGGCTTATAGAGAAGGGGATGAGTATAGGCTGATAGAGAAGGGGATGAGTATAGGCTGATAGAGAAACAGAATGTGGTGAATGTTTTGTTAAATACATGCTCTGGTGTATGTGAGAGTAGTCGGGCCATGTACAATGTGTTTGGGTCAGGCTTGTAGACAGTCCCCACCTGGAGATGTAGTTTGCACTGACTGCATGTTTTGTCTGTTTGCTGCAGCTGTCTCTGGTGTCACTGTCGCTGTTCAAGACGTTGATCAATCTCAACTGTGAGGATGTCATGCTCCAGCTGGTCTTCAAGTAAGTAGCATCTCATGTTCAATACTAGAACTGCTATCATTGGTCAGGACATTTTAATGACACAGACCTACTGTGTGTCACTAGTCTATCTAAAATCATCATCATCATCATAATCATCATCATCATCATCATCGATAATAATAATGAATGAATAACCCTTGTGTTGCAGATACCTGATTCCCTGTACCCACGTAATGGTCAGTCAACGAAGGTCGGTGAAGGACCTTGACCTTTACAGTAAAAGTGCGGAGAAGTTCCTGTCTCTGCGTCCGTCCTGCTGCATGTCGAGGAGCACGGAAAGCCCTAAATCCTCCTCTCACAGTAACGATAAGACACTTCCCTCGACCAGGTACACTGCATCGTCCGGCCATGCCACTACTAACCGCTTGCATATTTCCTCTATAATGTCTTCTTGTCATCTTGAACATGGTCATGTCTTTGCTGAAATTATTTTTCTTTATTGAGATTTGAAGGGTTTGGTTTTCTATAGGTCTGGTACTCACTTTTAGTAATCTAGTAATTTTAGTATCTAGGCCAGGCATACATCATTGCTGTAATTCATTGTCACTCCTGTAACCCTCAGTTTGCTGTGACACAGACTGTGATACTGACAGTTTGGACCGAGATGGCACTGCGACTCCCACCATGATACTGACAGTATGGACCGAGATGTCCGTTCACTGTGACTCCGACCACGATACTGACAGTATGGACCGAGATGCCGTTCACTGTGACTCCGACCACGATACTGCCAGTATGGACCGAGATGTCGTTCATTGTGACTCCAACCACGATACAGACAGTATGGACCGAGATGCCGTTCACTGTGACTCCGACCACGATACAGACAGTATGGACCGGGATGTCGTTCATTGTGACTCCGACCACGATACTGCCAGTATGGACCGAGATGTCGTTCATTGTGACTCCGACCACGATACAGACAGTATGGACCGAGATGCCATTCACTGTGACTCCGACCGCGATACAGACAGTATGGACCTGATGTCGTTCATTGTGACTCCGACCACGATACAGACAGTATGGACCGAGATGTTGTTCACTGTGACTCCGAACCGATACTTACAGTCTAGATCCAGATGCCGTTCACTGTGACTCCGACCACGATACTGACAGTATGGACTGAGATGCCGTTCACTGTGACTCCGACCACGATACTGCCAGTATGGACCGAGATGTCGTTCATTGTGACTCCGACCACGATACAGACAGTATGGACCGAGATGCCGTTCACTGTGACTCCGACCACGATACAGACAGTATGGACCGGGATGTCGTTCATTGTGACTCCGACCACGATACAGACAGTATGGACCGAGATGTTGTTCACTGTGACTCCGACCACGATACTGCCAGTATGGACCGAGATGTCGTTCATTGTGACTCCGACCACGATACAGACAGTATGGACCGAGATGCCGTTCACTGTGACTCCGAACACGATACTTACAGTCTAGACCCAGATGCCGTTCACTGTGACTCCGACCACGATACTGACAGTATGGACCGAGATGCCGTTCACTGTGACTCCGACCACGATACTGCCAGTATGGACCGAGATGTCGTTCATTGTGACTCCGACCATGATACTGACAGTATGGACCGAGATGTCGTTCACTGTGACTCCGACCATGATACTGACAGTTTGGACCGAGATGGCACTGTGACTCCGACCATGATACTGACAGTATGGACCCAGATATCGTTCACTGTGACTCCGACCATAATACTGACAGTTTGGACCGAGATGGCACTGTGACTCCGACCATGATACTGACAGTATGGACCCAGATATCGTTCACTGTGACTCCGACCATAATACTGACAGTTTGGACCGAGATGGCACTGTGACTCCGACCATGATACTGACAGTATGGACCGAGATGCCGTTCACTGTGACTCCGACCATGATACTGACAGTTTGGACCGAGATGGCACTGTGACTCCAACCATGATACTGACAGTATGGACCGAGATGTTGTTCACTGTGACTCCGACCATGATACTGACAGTCTAGACCCAGATGCCGTTCACTGTGACTCTGATCAAGATACTTACAGTCTAGACCCAGATGCCGTTCACTGTGACTCCGACCACGATACTGACAGTATGGACCGAGATGCCGTTCACTGTGACTCCGACCACGATACTGCCAGTATGGACCGAGATGTCGTTCATTGTGACTCCGACCACGATACAGACAGTATGGACCGAGATGCCGTTCACTGTGACTCCGACCACGATACAGACAGTATGGACCGGGATGTCGTTCATTGTGACTCCAACCACGATACAGACAGTATGGACCGAGATGTTGTTCACTGTGACTCCGAACACGATACTTACAGTCTAGACCCAGATGCCGTTCACTGTGACTCCGACCACGATACTGACAGTATGGACCGAGATGCCGTTCACTGTGACTCCGACCACGATACTGCCAGTATGGACCGAGATGTCGTTCATTGTGACTCCGACCACGATACAGACAGTATGGACCGAGATGTCGTTCACTGTGACTCCGACCACGATACAGACAGTATGGATCGGGATGTCGTTCATTGTGACTCCGACCACGATACAGACAGTATGGACCGAGATGTTGTTCACTGTGACACCGAACACGATACTTACAGTCTAGACCCAGATGCCGTTCACTGTGACTCCGAACACGATACTTACAGTCTAGACCCAGATGCTGTTCACTGTGACTCCGACCATGATACTGACAGTATGGACCCAGATGTCGTTCACTGTGACTCCGACCATGATACTGACAGTTTGGACCGAGATTGCACTGTGACTCCGACCATGATACTGACAGTATGGACCGAGATGTTGTTCACTGTGACTCCGACCATGATACTGACAGTTTGGACCGAGATGGCACTGTGACTCCGACCATGATACTGACAGTATGGACCGAGATGTTGTTCACTGTGACTCCGACCATGATACTGACAGTCTAGACCCAGATGCCGTTCACTGTGACTCCGACCACAATACTGACAGTATGCACCGAGATGTCATTCATTGTGACTCCGACTACAATACTGACAGTATGGACCGAGATGTCAATCACTGTGACTCCGACCACGATACTGCCAGTATGGACCGAGATGTCGTTCATTGTGACTCCGACTACAATACTGACAGTCTGGACCAGGATGACTTTTGCTGTGACTCCGACTACAATACTGACAGTCTGGACCAAGATGACTTTTGCTGTGACCCAGACCATGATACTGACAGTCTGGACCAAGATGACTTTTGCTGTGACTCCGACCACAATACTGACAGTCTGGACCAAGATGACTTTTGCTGTGACCCAGACCATGATATTCTGACCAGGCTGAGATGACATTGTGACCAAGATCATAAAAGTGACACTCTATCCAAAAATGTCGTTTGTCGTGACCCAGACAATATATACTGATATATATATCTATCAGTATCTACATCAGTATTTCTTAATGAAGAAAGTGGCCATTTTCATGATGTTTGCATGTTGCTGAATCTTTTTTCAAAACTCTCCTTCTGCTTACTACTGTCAGACTGTTACCAGTTGTGAGGATAATAGCATCAATAATCGTCAGAGTTGCACCGTTTACAGTTGTATTGCTAATAGCATTAATAAGAGTCAGTGTTGTAACCCTCAGATTATTAACAGTTGTATGGATAATAGCATCAATAATAGCCAGTGTTGGTCCCCTCAGACTCAGACAACAGTGATAGAAATTGTCACTAGTCAAACTGCCCTATAGTTAATGTATCATAAGGACTATCAGAATTTAGTTATTTTAAAGGGTTTTGCTATACAGTACGTTATCATTATCAGGATTAGTGGACAAAACTGTTAGTTTCTATCGTTGTAACAGTTGTATGGATAATAGTATCAATAATAGTTTTATGGACAGTGTCATCTATAAGAGCCACTTAACACATGTTGAGCCTTCTTGCTATGTTGACTGAACAAAAACACTCTATCATATCACCAAAGGAAAGTTTTTCAGATGGGAGAGCAAAAAATTTTCATGATGTTTAAATTGATTGTCCTGTGTTCATGATATTCTAAGTGGTCTTATTAGTAAAATGTGGAAAAATATCTTAAACTTAAAAATAATTTGAATCCAGAGGCTATCTGAACACCTGATTTTCAGTGGTTAGATTCTTGGCTTGCTCTTACTTGGGGACTTTTCAGCAACTCTTTGTCTTTTCAAGCTCTGATATATTTTGTTTACTTTCTGATATCCATTTCACCAAGGAAACTTGATAATTTAGCTAATATGTCAGCAGACATTTCGTGGATACATTGTGAAAAAGTTGTATTCTGAATTTGAAAATGTGAACAAATACTTGAAGGAATTCTCTTTTTGTGAAATCCTTATACCATGCCATTCAACATGTTAAAGATGTTATGTGCCATTTTGGTGTGTAATAAAAGATCAAAGATATAGTACTGCCAGTGATATGAACTAAACTATCAAGTTCCCCACTTTGTATAGTGTTGGTTGTGGTGTGTACAGTACCATTTGGTTATTCCTGCACTTATTTTGTCTGTAGCTCTCTAAATGATAGAAACAGTAGAACTAGACGACCCTCGAGCAGTCCTAACCCAATCGCAAGGCCCAACAAACCTTTTGGAGATTTTTTCTCCCGAAAGAACTCCAAGACTAAACGAAGCAATTCCCAGCTTGTACCGTAAGTGGTTGACTTACACTAATGCCAGATGCTGTGAAACTTTCCATCGCCATTTCCCTGTGAGCTTTTCATTCCACGTCTACCTGAGATGTAACGAGACAGCTGGTCGAATAATCTGTAGTTTACAAATTTTAAAATTGTTAAAATTTCGTCTCCAGTGCAATTCGCGAACATTCTTAGTTTTGTCTGTCGTAAGACTTGCCAGCCTCATAATTTATCGACTGCTGTGTATAGTTGCTGTATCGTTACATCACTTGTGTATTTGATTCATGTATATTACTTCCCCAATTACACAATTGTATTATATTGACTTCTTTATTGGATGACTGGAGTTCTGTTCCTATTGGTGTGTAAATCTGTATAGGTTTAGATGGGACCATGAGTCTACTAGTTGTAGGTGAGTAAAAGGTTTAATGGAATAGAATATGTCATTGTACTCTAGCCAAATTTTGTCGTTATTATCCAAAGATAACTGTAGACAATTTGGATTTAGTTTTTGATTGCTGCCAATAATTATTAGATTTTTAAAGAAACAACATATTTTTAACATATTTAATTGAGAAACTGCAGTGACCTTGAGAAAATGTCACCTGGGTGTTGCATTGTTCTCTATTCTGAGATTAGCATGTCTACAGAAACATTATCCCTGAGAATGTTTGAGCAGACAAATGTTACGTTTATTTAGTTTTGTTATAAGAATGCACTAGACTGTGATGCCTTTTGTTGAAACGAATGTATGCATGTTTGTTGTATGGATAATAAGATTGATAGATGCACTGAGAATGGTCCCAGCAAGCATGATGTTCCTCATTGAAATTGAATCAAGTGATTTAAGATTAGATCTTTTTGTTTTTCATATCATTCACTATCTAGTTATCATTAAATATATATTGTATGTTTAAAGCATATCTATTGAGTACATTCTCTTGATGGGTATAATTCATTTTCTTTGTGGCTTTTCCCTGATTATGTAAATTTCTGTTGCCAGGGCAACACAGGAAGCTGTTAGAAGAAGCCCACAAACACCCATTACTCCTGAAACGAGAATCGAGGACTTTGAAACAAGTTATTTTGAATATTTGCATGATGCTCGTTATCGATTGACAAAATGTGCCCGAGCATGTCGGAACTGGTCTGCCCCTTATAATGGAGAGACACCGCCCCCGGATTGTTTCCTTGACAAGATAGCCAGTGAGAACAAAGCTGATGGTGATAAAAGTCAGTCAGATTCGCGGGTAAAACCTGCATCGGATTTGGGAGGAGACAGGACAGGTGTTGAGGAGACGACATCTCCCAGAGTCCAACTCTTCTCCCACGGCAATATGAACTCTAAGAACAGTGGAGTAGTAGCCGATGTGATTGTTAACGGCTGTATGGACAACTCGACGGACAAGATGGAGCCAGGAAGAGACATGTCATCTTTGTGCAATAACTCATCCCATAGTGAGATGGTGAAGTCGCCAAGTCTTTCAAAACTGTTTTCATCGTTAGATAGTTTAGATTCTTTTATTCGCTACCTGGATGAATTTGACCCAGCTGATGATTCAGCTTCTTCTATAGAGGACAGTATGCAGAGTTTAGAATCGGTGCTATCAAATATGTCCCATTCTTTCAATGCGACTTCAGTTGGGAATGACACTATTTTGTACTCCCAGGAGTCAAACAAGTCAGGGAGCAGCTTTCACAGTTCTGTCCGGTCCAACGTGGATGTTCCGTGCAGCCTCAACCTCAGGGATATGTCGAGTTACGTGGAGATCACAATGTCCTCCCCGGACCGGTCCAACGCCCAGAAGGTTCTGCAGGAGCTGCCTCAACGAAGCTTCCTGACCCCTGACCTGACGCTGTCGCCGAGTCGATGGACGGAAGTGGACATGCCCTTCAGTATGGCTGCCAGCCCCTCCCCCTCTGTCGCCTCCCGGGCCTTCACACCACGCTACTCCAGCAGTGCACCCAACATAGGTCAGCCACTCTTCTATCACTGTAGTGCAGTGTTCACACTTAGACAATAGGACTAGACCTGGAGGTTCCCTGACTAGCAGCTAGCCTTAATGACCCAGGATACTGTTAATTTTGAACAATGTGTGGTGTTAGTATTTACAGCAGGCTTGTCAACTGCAAGTTACATTTTAACCATTTACCATAACATTTACTAACCGTGAAGGCTAGAATATTTCTCACTGTAAACTTGATTATATAGTAGATTGATGATATGTCATTTGTATTCTGATCTCTCTTTAACTCCTTCAATACAATTTGTCATAGGAGATTATTGTGGAGGTAACATATAGTGAGGTCTTCCATATAATTAAGAAAGATATACCTTAACTCATTGGTATATAGGCAATGGCTATGTGAATATATTGTTGTCGAGAAAGAAGTTGTTACTAGTTACTGTTCGGGAGTCATATGACAAGTCTGACTTCATTGCCTGTGTTGCAGGTCCCTTCCTGGCCGCGGTGTTCTCCAAGCTGGAGAGTATGACCCAGAACTCTCTGTACATGAACCTGCTGCTGACCGGCATCGTGGCCCAGCTGGGAGCCTACCCCCAGCCCATACTCCGGTCCTTCTTGCTAAACCACAACCTCGTCTTTCAACCCACAGTCAAGTCACTGGTGCAGGTATGTCCTTCTTGCTAAACCAAATCATCATCACAACCCAGTCAAGTTGCTGGTGCAGGTATGTCCTTCTTGCTAAACCAAATCATCATCTTTCAACCCAGTCAAGTTGCTGGTGCAGGGAGGTAATTCTTGATAAACCAAATCATCATCTTTCAACCCAGTCAAGTTGCTGGTGCAGGGAGGTAATTCTTGATAAACCAAATCATCATCTTTCAACCCAGTCAAGTTGCTGGTGCAGGTGGGTCCTACTTGCTGATCCACCACCTCGTCTTTCCTGTTTCATGTTGATATAGTTACAACTCATGTTAAGGCTTTGTGAAGGCGATGGCTTCTTGTACCTGTGTGGACTGATGCTGGTTTGAGATACCATGCTGGAGCATAGCGACTCTGAGTTGGCTTGTCCTTGTGTCATCCCCCTTATGCCGAGCGTCAGACAGGGTAACAACAAGTACCTTTTACCATCGAACCACCGATCCTCTGCTCTCCGGGCAAACGCTCCTTCCTTCAGTAGACCAAGGAGGTGATACTCACTGTATGAGTATATCACTAGGAGTCTACTGGATTTAGTCAGTTCTTTTGCAGAGTAAAACAGTTAACTGACATGGAGTTTCTTACCTATCTCTCAGTGATTTTGATACGAAAAGCTGCACATAGGTCAATGACTAGACCCAAGAAATGTCATTAGTCAGTGGCAAAGGTCAATAAGACATAAACAAAACACAAACTTGCTCATGCCATGTGCTCACAAATCAACAAAACTGGCAGGTGAACCATAACAAATCAATGCAATACCGTTCATGATCGGATGAATATATACGATCTGTCCAGTGAACGTCACGATAAGAAAAGCACTTGACTAAGTCAATAAAGCTCAGACAGCTTTTTACTATGATACAGAATGTATGATGCTCAGAAGTTCAATTATGATTTTTCATGGCTGTTCATTAATTTATTAAATTGACACTGTAAGTAAGACTACTCCTTGCTAGTTACTTGAAATTATGAAACGTGTGAAGCCTTGCTTAGCATTTCTATCTGTCAAAAGTCTGACTACCGGTGACCGACGGCCATCTGAATTTCTGTCTCTAATGCCAGTTGTCTCTGTTCAGGTGCTATCCTCTGTGCGCCAGAGAGTGGACAACTATGCCTTAACTATCCCCAACTTTGAAAACCTAATCATCCTCGCTCGCAAGAATCTTCTGTCCCGAGAAGAGAGTTACTTCAGTGCAGGGTTCCACCCTGTGCCGGCGAGTCTTGGGTCATCTCCGGTCAAACCTGCTCGGGCAGCAACCATCTCCGAGATCCCAACGAAAGGTAACCTCTATAACTCCTGGAAGTACTGGTGATAGATCACAACTGTTGCTGGTGTGAACATTTACATATTACACATAAGGGTAGAATGGTCGTGTGTAATAACTTTCTGATATTTTACATGTGCATTTTAGCTGCTCTCAATGCTGATTAGTCAGTTGAATCCATTTGATGTCACACAATCTCATTAAAATCAGATCTTAGTTCTCGCTATCGCTAAACAAAGATCTGAGGACATCCCATTACGGGTCACATCAGAACAACCTTTCATCCGAACAATCAAAGCGTCGCTTACCAGATCATGAAAGTGACAGTCGGAATGTGTTTTCTAATCATATAACCTCGAAAACGTTAACACAGTGTATTCTGAACGACAGCTACGGCCCATATCGTCTATCTCTCGCTTCCGTGGGATAAACATTTGAATGGAGGTGGCGTTGCACACTACGTGGGATGCCCTGGCATACAATCTCAACCATATATTAGACATTCAGGAATGTTTGTTTGTTCCGTTTTCAAAATTTTAATCGTGAACTGTGTCAACATGTTTTTCAAGCGTAGTCTGAAATGGAAGTCGCCAGGTTGAAACAAGTGCCATAAAGCTCGAGAAAGCTACTTCCTAATTGGCTGATGTTGACTTCTTGTTAGTCATTTCAGTGGTCGATCAAAATTCGTGAAAGGTCGTTCTGACGTGACCCGTAATGGGATGTCCTCAGATCTTTGTTTAGCGGCAGCGAGAACTTAGATCTGATTTTAATGAGATTGGATGTCACAATGCTTCATTGTTGAAAGAAATACAGTACGACATGATTAATTGTTCATGATGTCACAAACTGATTACATTATGTCATCTGAACATTTTATCTGTTTATTTCTGAATTTTCACCATTCATTCAGGACAGATAATTTGTAATTCCTTGTAGCTTGGTTATTCTCAAATTGATAGCATGCAAACTCGTACAATCTTTTCCAATGACCCTGTTTATCCGGCCACTTTTTATTTGTAAATAAATCAATTTTGTTGCTAAAGTCTGTATACCACATAAATGTAAAAATGGACATTACTCTAGACCCATGCCATCTATGATTTCACTGGTAATTGCACATTACAAGGGTTTCAATGTACTTTGTATGAGATTTCTGTTACCAACAATCCACGAAATGTTTCCTTTTCATTACAGAAAAGCGAAGCCCTTCCCAATCTCTCCGTGACCTGTTGTTTCGACGGAGCCCAGCCAGCAAGAAAGGCCTTAATATTGGGAACAAAGGGACACAACTCCAGCGGGTTCCGGGGGGAGTAGGCTATCTGTTCATCAATCGAACCCATGACGAGCCATCCAACAGTGCAGAGGAGTCACTGAAGACATGGAACGCTGTCTACTGCGCCATCATCCTAGATGAGTTCACGAAGGAATTAGCTGCCCTTGCTCAGGAGCATGCAATCCTCAGCATGGACGAGGGGTACGGCAGCAGTTGAAGTGGTAGCTAGATATTTATACTGCATCACATTTCACATTGCACTACTGGACGGGGCAGCACTATCACTTGTTTGGCAAGACCATGGTCAGATAGTCTAGCAGTTAATGTGTTCACCTGTCTCGCACAACACCTCGGTTGGTCTCCTCATGGGTAGTATCACTTACTTGACAAGATGTGGACCATGGTCAGATAGTCGAGCAGTTCATGTGTTCACCTGTCTCGCACAACACCTCATGGGTAGTATCACTTATGTGACAAGATGTGGACCATGGTCAGATAGTCTAGCAGTTGATGTGTTCACTCGTTATGCACAACACCTCATGGGTAGTATCACTTATGTGACAAGATGTGGACCATGGTCAGATAGTCTAGCAGTTGATGTGTTCACCTGTCTCGCACAACACCTCATGGGTAGTATCACTTGTTTGACAAGATGTGGACCATGGTCAGATAGTCTAGCAGTTGATGTGTTCACCTGTCTGGCACAACACCTAGACTGGTCCTCTAATGGGTAGTATCACTTATTTGACAAGATGTGGACCATGGTCAGAAAGTCTAGCAGTTAATGTGTTCACTCGTTATGCACAACACTTAGGCTGGTCCCCTAATGGGTAGTATCACTTATTTGACAAGATGTGGACCATGGTCAGAAAGTCTAGCAGTTGATGTGTTCACTCGTTATGCACAACACTTAGGCTGGTCCCCTAATGGGAACACTCTTTGAAACCCTGTTGTATGTCTTGCCAGGTTATATGGTGACAGTACTGCTAATAGCAGCATACAATGCACTCATACGCTCACTATCTTTACTGTCTCCACTTAATGAATACATTCTATTTATGTTGACAGTGGTTAAGTGATTTTAGAAATTTGGTGGAACATAAAAAAAAAATTGCGTTGTTGGACATCATTAATTGAGTTTGATCTAAAATACTTCCATGATGATGATGATGATGATGAAGAAGATCATAAAGAAATAAATGGTTCCAGATAAACTCTACCTAAACCTCAACAGTCTGGAACAGCACCTCTGTCAACATCAGACCTTGCTGAATTCAACACACGGTGGAAAGCACATTTCTTGAACATGCCATACCATGTGTAATCACTACCTAGACTCAGATTGGTGCATAAGCAATTTTGGACAGTGCATTTTGTGGCATTGTCACCATTTGGGTATTATTCATGTTGATGATACTTTTTAGTGTTGTTATTATTATCGTTGCTGTGTGTTGCAGAGGATTATTCAAGCTGGAGTCATGACAGAGAGTGTGTATCCAAGTGACAGTTGCCATGACGACACCCTCAACCACTCCCTCCAGACATGCACAGACAGCATACTTCACATATCACCACCTCTGTCTAGGGGGCGCCACACATGGGGCGACGTCTCTCATACCAATACACCCTCAGCCCCAGCAGGGAAAGTGTGGGGCTAGAACTGTCAGCAGAGCCTTGTGTCCAAGTGTCTCCATCATTTATGAAGATTACCTTCTGCCTGTATAAACATGCTGGCTTATGTTAACCTTATGTGAATAGTCCATTAGAGAAAGAATATTTACACCAACCTAGTGATAGATTTACACCAGGAACAAAAAAACAACTTTCAGTAATCTTGGCTAAAAACAGTAATCAAATTTCTGAAATTTGAATTTTTTATTGCTTTGAGGGTAAATGTCTAGTGAGATTTGTGAAGGCATTGATGGGATTATTTCACAAGGAACACTGTTGACAATGCTTCTGAATAATTTAACCTGCCATTTGCCGTTATTGAAGTCATCAGAAGTAGAGCACTCGGTGCTGACTCATGATTTTTTGAATAGCTGCACGATGTTGATGTGTGGAATGTCAGTATTCACTTGTTAACTCTCGACACAGTGGATGTTTCAATGGTACAAACTTAGGATTTGAACACCTTGTCTACAGTATGGACTGAGGTCGGCTTGTCTCCTCTAGAGTTGATTACCTGTATCTCCCAATCTTGGAGCAGGTCACACACAACACTTCAATGTAAATGAAAGACATTTTGACAATACAAAATTTCTTTTTCATCATATTTTCTGCACAGTGAACTGGTTCGTGAGTTGTCCATTTTAAGGTTTTCATATGATTTTTAGGTGTTTATTTACGAGAGATGAGAATGCTTCTATATCCAGTTGAGCGTTGAATATTACATATATCTATTCATATATTGCTGCAATATAGGTACAATATGTACTATCAAAGATTGTTTATAGGAGCATGGCACAAATATCACACATGCTACAACTATCTGAAAAATAATATTAGTGAAATGATATATCTCTGTAATTTTTCAAATCAAGACTTCCTTCATTTTAGTTCTTGTTTATCTAGTTAGGCACTGAAACATCTGTCAGACAAGTACCAATCAGTGATTTGAACAAAAACTGAGCTTTGTATTGTATATTTCTGAAGCTGTACCTTTTGAAATAAGAACCACAGACAATGATGCTTGATAGCAGTGTCCTGATTCTGATAGCGATGACTTTGTTTCTAACACTGGTTCCTGTACATGTTGCTTTATACAGCTCATTCAGACATCGTGATGTGTGTGTGAGATTGAGATACATCACATAGTTACTAGCTTTTGCTTTATTTTCACCCACAATCTCATTAAAATCAGATCTTAGTTCTCGCTACCGCTAAACAAAGATCTGAGGACATCCAATTCAGGTCACGTCAGACCGACCTTGCGTGAACTTCGACCGACCAATGGAATGACCAATCAGAAGGCAGCTTTCTCAAGCTTTACGGCACTAATTTCAAATTGGCGACTATGCTTCGAAACATATTTTGACAAATTCTCGATTACAAATTTGAAACCTGACAAAAGAACATTCTGGAATGGCTAATAGATGGTCTAAATTGTATGGATTCAGTGGTTAAACCCGTAACTATCGTTCGGAGTTAATGTTTTCGAGGTTGCATTATTAGAAATCACATTCCGACTGTCACTTTCATAATCTGGTAAGCGATGCTCTGATTGGTCGGATGAAAGGTCGTTCTGACGTGACCCCTAATGGGATGTCCTCAGATCTTTGTTTAGCGGTATCGAGAACTAAGATCTGATTTTAATGAGATTGTTTTCACCCAGTGATTGGAATGCTGAGATCTTTAACATTCTCACTTTATTATCATGCACAGTTTGTTTTTCATCTATATTTCAAGCATGTATCTGTGACTATGCATTTAGCACTTCAGTCTGTAGATGAAGACACAATGCTGGTTCATTTAGCTTCAAAATCACGGTCTACGATATTACTCTGATTCCTCGAAATATATTCACATAAAAAAAGAAGACTTTTTTTAATCTTGGTTTACGAATCTGGCGACTTCAAAACATTGAAATGTGAAAAAAACAAAACAATGAAAAGCAGTGTTATTTCTATTTGCTGACCAGAAATAAGTAATATGTTAAAAATAGCTTAATTACTGTGGCTATCAACATAAATAAGATATCTAAAATGCAATCATTAACACCTGTTGATAATTTATCTTAAAAACTTTGATAAACAATGAATCACGCCAGACCTGTATCTATGATGGAAGAGGGGAAACTCTAAACATTCCCAATTGCTCCTGGCCCCCACTTTCTTTCCCTACCTACTTAACATTTTGAGGAAATGAAAAACAAATATTTGAAATTTAAATTTTTATTGTAATTGTTTTTATCTACTCATCTGTATTTTTGGGCCAGAAATCTGTAACCCCCAAAGAAGAGAAAATCTGGCCTGAGGGAACATGTTTGGCATGGTAATATATACATACGACAGAGATGGTTAGAGCTTTGTGGCAGATACACCTCTGATACATTTCTCTCATTGACTTAGTGTTTGATGTGAAGTATCCAGAATTGAATATAAGTCTTTCTGTTCCTTCACCATCAGTATACAAGCCTCATACCTTCAACTCCGAGGTGTATCCAAAAGTGGAATTGTTTGTTTACAGTTATCACTCATGATTGATTCTTGGTATTTTGAATAGACATACAATGCTTACTCACGGTCTGGATTTCACAAAGACCCACTGAAAGTCTGAGAAAGACTGGAGCTGATTCTGTTATGGAGGATAATGTATTGATGTTGAATGAACAAGGTTTTAGTGGCTGAATAGTTCATTGATAATCTATAACGGATCTAATTGTGGGAGTTGTGATACTAGGTAGACAGCATTGTTGTGATTGTCTGCTATGGGAGTACACCGTTTTAAACATTATACCTGTTTTACTTACTTCTTGGCCTTGCTTTTATGGTTTTATTTTGTGTATATAAGCCAGTGACTGAAACACCGGGATACCAAGTGGTGCTTCGTTTTGCCAGAGTATTTTGGTCATGTTAGTGTCATGACGGAGACTGATTGGGTATGATTATCAGGAAATGAAATGTGATATAACATGTACATATAATTTATTAAATTTTTATCACTTCAGAGCTTGTATAATTCAGTCCTATGTTATTGAGGTTGTGTGTAGGGAGAAGTGAAATATTTTATAGCAGGAATATCTGTTGTACTCTTTACTGAGGCCTGGTTTTATGTTTCATTGTATATTTGGAAGTTTGATTTTAACATAGGTTTTAGTGGACAGCCTTGAAAGAACATGAATATTTTGTATTTTATTAATAGCATAATGATCTCTAACATAATATTAAGTCAAATATTTGAGAACTAGATTGTCACAATATGGTAACTCATGATCCAGTATGTATTGTGATACTTGAGGGTTGATAAGGCATGATGGTAATATGAAATTTGCACTGTTTTTGCATGAAATTCTCAATTTTCCAGACTGCCTAGCACTTTGCTATCAACTAGTTTGTGTTTAGCTCCCATGAGTGTTGAATTCAGGCTTGTTCTTGCAGTCTTATGCAGTCCAGTTTTGCATCATGTTTTGTTGGGGGAAGATAAGGCTAGCATCAGTTTTCATGCTAGGTTTTCTCAAAGCTTCATAAATACTACTTTTGAAATTCAATACAGAATTATTTATGACACTTGGTTAGGCATATCCTGTATCCAATCATCAGGTGTAAATTTGTGATACCTCCGTGAAATGTAACACCCCGACTGAAAACCATCCTTTCTCTGTAATGATATTGGGAGATTCCCGGGCTGACATGAGATGTTCTTGGAATGAATATGTTGATGTGGTAGAGAAAGGTCAGACTAAGATTATTCTAATTTTCCATGTGTGAAGTTACATGCATCACAAGAATAGTATGTTAATATACATACTTTAGAAACACACCCACAATTTGTTTGTACATGTAATTGGTTAGATTGCAAGGAAGGCTTGTGTGACACAAGAGATTTATCACCCCACCTATACTGTTAGCAAGCTTTATCACCCGGGTAGGGATTATTGGTAGTGTAGTCCTACATTAAAAGGAGTGGTAGGGTATACAATTTAAACACATATACTCGTAGGGTCAAATTCACACCCTCATATGCTTACCGGTAACATACAGGGTTCCTGTTCCACAAAGCGACCTTAGCGCTGTGATTGTCACAAGTCTGTGTTGAGAATGGTAGTATTGCTTTGTGGAACAGGCACAATGAGTATAGTTTAGTGACTAATACTTGGAATTTTGTACTATCACTGGACTTGTGTCATTCGACTGCATTGGGGCCTGTTATGTTTGTCAGTTCCATGCAGACAATAGGCCAAGCCCCCACCCAGTTTTCACCCTTGTTGGATCAGAAGCCTATTTCTCACCCAAAACTCTCTCCCACAGGAATATCACTAGGGTTAGATCAAGCGATATCTCCTACAATAAAATAGCAACATGATGCTTTGCAAGCCATTGTGATGTCACCAGTTACCATGATGTCACAATCAAATGACATCACTAATCTCTCAGCCTCTGAAGCTGTATCTGCATTATTTACAGTGACACCGGTTGTTACTGTTTATAAACAGAAAAAGTTGGAAGAATGGTTTTGGATGATAAGTAGAATCTCACCTTCGTGTCTTCCAATCCCAAATACATCAAGATTCTATGATAAAACCTTAAAATATCCTTGGCAAGCCATGGATATTAGTAAATTTGTCAACTTGTCTTGACATATTTGATGTCGGAAGGCACTTGTGTGAGAATATCAATATAATAGCAACATATCACAAGCTAAATCCAGAATGTAGATTATGTGATATTGGCAGTAGCATATATCGGTCAACAGATATGTTTAGGAAATCATACAGGTGATAAAATAAAAGTGACACTTAATACCAGGTAGACATAGAGACCGTGTGAAACAGAGGGACACTTTTGTCAATGTTAGGATAGATAGTGTGAAGTATAGGGATTTTTATGCATTTATTCGTATTTGGCATTTTTTTTATTAATTTAGGATATGGGACATAACACAGAAGGTATTTGTATTCAACCTGAAGTAATTCACGTGGTGCATGTTGTTTTTCAAAATGATCTGATTGTTGTTTTTTTATCTTTATAAAAGAAGTGTTTCATTTCATTAACCACGTTCAAAATCATTATATCAGTAGATTTAGCCCACTATAATCAAGGTTAAACATATATGTAGCATTAGATTTAGATTCACATCGCTGGTATTTAAGAGCAAATTATCTTTGTCTTCTAAAAAGCCAATAATTCATGAAAGGTTTGTTTTAGGGGACACAAGTAAGCTTGAAAATGTAGGTACCCCTCTGATTATCCCTGTAGACCCAGTATAGTCATTCTGATGGATTCTGGGTTAGAATAGGTCCCCATCAACCTGTGCTGGTTGTAAGAGGCAACCAAATGGATCGGGTGGTCAGCCATTGGTGACTTGGATGCAAGAGTGTCGTACCTTGACAGCTTGCAATATCGTCACTTTATTGTCTGGCCCAGATTATATCATTACAGGCTGCTGTCATTTAGCAGGAATAATGCCTCCTGGGGTATTAAACAGACAAACCATGGTACTGAAGCACAAGTGACACTGCAGAACCTACCTGTCAGTTGACACTGAACAACAGAACTCCCGTGATGCCAATCAGCACTGTGGAAGGATCTTGTCCAGTGTTGCCAAATAGAACCAGTTGATGTCAGTGTGATGTTTTGTGGTGCATTAGTTCATTGTCTGCAATGAGCAGTACAAGGGGTTTTATACAATAGGATGGAGACATGTCCTTAGTGGATTGGAAGCATTTATTTATATAAAATATTGATTGATTTATGATTCAACAGATCATATTCAGCTGAACACTGTCAGAAATACTGATTTCTCATGCCATTCTCAATAGTCGAGATATTGACATAAAAAGCAGTAGTTTAGGGTGTAACAAGCATTTTTCATGGTCCATAGCACAATTGCTTCATGATTTACAAGAGTCTATTTTTACACATAAATACTCAGTGTTGAGTCTAAACAACTGGGTTCTTGTAATTCTATATTTTATTATTGTACATAAGTTAGTGATGGTTAATGATGCAAGCGAGGCCCATCTGTGTTTGTACCTGCACATCAATACAAACACTGGAATGCTTTTACCAACACAATCAACATGTTTGTCCTTTCACCGCTTTCACATCATGTGAATGTTATTAAAATTATATAATGATGAAACCAGGAGTCCTTATTTTTTCAAGAACTTTAGCATCACATTTGTAGTTTATACAATACAGGGTTGTTGTATTGTGTTGCTGGGAAGATTCTGTGAGTTGCCAGGAAGGTTGTGTGCGTTGCCAGGAAGGTTGTGTGAGTCGCCAGGAAGATTGTGTGAGCT